CCATAAAGGGGCAGCTCTGAGTTCTGGAAGAGATTTTTGTTTTGTTTATAAAATAATGCAAAAATAGATGAAAACAGATAAAACGAAAACTATATAAAAATTACATACCATTATTTACAAGAGCCTCGAATGCATTTTTTACCTGAAAATCAAATGAAATTTGTTGATTGATAAATTAAATCAGAGTTGAAAAAAGAAACTGAAAATTTAAAAGATTTTTTTTTTTTAAATGGAATTAACAAAGCTTTTTTTTTCTGACAATCAGCAGGGTGAGTAGCTTTTTTAAAAAGTGCTTAAACGTGCTTATTTTCGATTTTCATTTTTTAAATGACCTTAAAGGTGCTTTTTTCCATGGGTGTTTTTAAAAAGTGCGTAATTTTTCCTTTTCCGAAATGTTATATTTTTCTTTACCATGTTGATTTTCGCTACAAATTATGCAAAAAGACGTTGTCCTATTCAACGTTTTCACAATTTATTCAACCCCAATCTATTTCGGCGTACCGTTGGTCTGTAGTGTATGAAAACACCATTTGTTTTACATGTTTGATGAAATACTTGCGGGTCCGCACTTGCGTATACTGAGCTGGATTCAGTGGGAAGGATTTTTGTCTCTCATGTGCAACTCCGCTGCATTTTCCAAGAGATTTCAATTTCAGACTTCATTTCGACTCTGTAATAGAATCGAAAAATCTCTCGAATTTTTGCTGATTACAATTTGTTTTCTCTATTAGAGATAGGAAATTTCATTTCTCTTGTTAATTTCATCGTTGGTGACGCGATATCGTCATCGTCACTGGCAAGAAAATAATACCATCAATTGTCAGTGCTTAAAAATATTTTTTGAGCCCTTAAAAGGTGCTCATTTTTTGTTGAAAAATTTGGCTACGCACCCTGATCAATTATTGCAATGAACTCGAAACTTTTTTTTTTTTATCGCCGTGGTCAACGTTTGATAATTTTATCACGACATGATGAGGGGAAGGGACGTTGATTGTTTATAATTTGAATTGTTTTGATTTAATTACATTAATTGTATTTAATGCCTTCAAAACAAAATACAGTTGCATCGAAAAATAAATTTATTGATTTGATATTTTAACTCACTAGAACGCTAAACAAATAAAAATCCTGAGCGTGTTTTTTTTTTTTTTTTGTCTACAAGACGGTTTTTTTTGGAGATAAAGGAAATTTATCTCCTTTTTGGAGATAAAAGAAAATCAAACCCGAAGTCTGCTGCGTATGTCCAGTTTAATTCGTTGTTTTTGGTTGCTGTCTCTGATAGGCTATGAGAAATAGCAATATGGATTTAAGTTCCGTGGTATCAATCTTAGAGTTAACCTCTCGCCCATGAAAATTCGAGAGTCGTACAAATACCATAGTAAATAAAGTTAAAACTAATTTATGTCCCTTGGGCGGTCTTCATTTGGTACCTGCACAGGGTTGGGGACCACTTGGTTACTGCCTTTACATCACGAATTGCATCGCTATAACGCAAATGCCGCTAGTTCAGAATCTTTTTACAGTTTGTTTGTATTTTAATTTTGGGGGGACAAAAAAGATAACTCCCTTACCAAAAGCTCAACAGACAGTACAACAACTTTACCACTGACTGGCATCACATCATAACACGTACGGGAGCTCAGAAAAGTGGGAATAATTTTATCTTCAGCTGAAAAGAGAGAAAGAAAAAAGATTTTAATTAAAGTATAAAATTCATAAATATTAAAATCCTTTAATTTTTTTAGATTATTTTATCACAGTAATTGTTTTGAAATTGATTTTTAACTCACTGAAAGGAAATTTTCCAAAGTGATGCGGAAACTAAATCAAATATGCATTTCATCTGTCAAATTTTTAAACAAACTGGGCAAAATTGAAGAAGTTAATGAGTTTACAGTTTTTAAATATGTCGTAAATGGTCTCATGAGCATTCAATTTTATTTTATTTACTAAACTCATTTCAATTGTTTCAAATTTAGCAAGAACCATGTAGAATAACGTGAAAATTAATATACACGAGCAAAAAAAGTGAACATACTGAATAACTTTGGATCTAATGATCGGATTTTTATGTATTAAAGACTATCTTAATGGTTTGAGGATGTGACCTCAAATATGCTAATTAATTTGCGCGAACAATATTTTAAAAGTTACGAAATCAGACACAAAAATGTACTTTCGCTAAATAAATATATCTTTTTTAAGGCATTTTGATTTCAAACCCTGAAAGTATAAGTGATAAGCCCAATCTGGGAAACAGTAGTTTAGTCAGGAGAGCGTTCTAAAGTTTGAACCCACAATGTTGAATTTACTTTTTGAGTATTTCGCCATGTCTCCGAAACTAATGAAGCTAATCAAAAAAATTTTTGCACACTATTATAAAATTCGCTTATGCAAAGATAATTCCAAGTAAAAATTAATTTTGAATAATTATTTTTTAGGAAATATGGTCCCAATAGTTTCATCAGGAGAACGGTAACTAAAATATGTTAATTAAACTGCGATATTTTAGGTTACGTAATCAGACACAAAAGAGTATTTTCTTTGAACAAAAATACATTTTATAGACTGGTTTGGATTGTTGATCCTCAAAATATAGTCCCAACAGTGAAGTCAGGATTGCGGTTGAAAGTTTGGACTCTTGAATGTTAATTTAGCTTTTAAGCGCTTTTCACTATATTTCGAATACTCCAGTAAATCGAAACATTTGCACATAATTAAAAAAAAATGTTTATTCAAAGATAATTTCATGCAAAAAAATAGTTTTAATAAATAATTTTGTTGAATAATATTGGAAAATATTTAAATTATAAGGCTAGCCATTATTTACATAATTTGAAGGCATCTAATTTCAAATGAGAAATTTTTTTCCCGAACTATCCAATTTTTATAGTCGTACAGCTAAAATTTGATTTCTAGAGAGCTATTTAAACGATTAAATTTTGTATATTGTCACATAAAATTTATTTTAAAATGCTTAAAAGCATAAATTAATCCCATAATTTATTATTTTTTACATTTAAAATTTTTTAATTTAAAACTTAGTAAAATGATAAAGAATTATTAAAATTTTAACGGTAATTATTTAAAAAAAAAATTATAATTGCTTGAATTT